GGAGAAAATGGGAAACTAGTTATAATACTTCATGTCAACATTTTTTTTTTCGATTTAATTTTTAGTTTTTAAAAAAAATTAATCAAAACATGTTATTTAAATAAAATCTATTTTTTTTTAATTAAACATAACATTACAAAAAAACATAACATTTAAAAAAAATACATTTTGCCCCTAGTTTATTCATTTTCATTTCCATTGTACATAAATCAGCCAAATCATCTCGAAGTTGGTTGTGTTTTAGTGTGTCTTTATATATCTACGGCCCTATATAATATTCCGCTGTCCCAGGTTGAAATTACATGTGTCTGGGTTCCAAAGCCGAATACTCTGCAATGTTTCGTCCTTTATCTTCAACCATCATGTTATGCATTATGATACATGCATACATAATATCTTGTAGAACGTCTAACAGATATGGTCGTGCTGCATGTTCAATTCTGTGTCATTTCGACTTCAGAACTCCAAAAGCATGTTTCACATCCTTACGTGCTCCTTCTTGTTTTTTTTTGAAAAATTTATCTGTTGGTGTTAATGGGTGTCGAAACGCCTTTACGAATGTGGAATATGTTGGATATATTCCATCCGTAAGGTAATACGCAAACTTATATTCATTTTCATTCACTATGAAAGGAGCATCTGGTGCTTTTCCTGACAAAATATCATCGAAAATTGTTTACTGATCAAAAACATTCATGTCGTTGTTCGAATCCGCAACCCCGAAAAAAGCATGCCAAATCCATAAATCTTGGGACGCAACAACCTCTAATACCAACGAAAGCGTTCCATGAGGACTACTTGCGTACTAGCCTTTCCATACCACGGGACAATTTCTCCAGTTCCAGTGTGTGCAATAAATGCTTCCAAGCACACCTGAAAAACCATGTCTTTCTTCATGCATCGCATATAGTTGTTATATGTCATTCAATGAAGGTTTGCGCAAATAAACTTCATCGAAAATTTCAACAACACCCCTCGCCAGTCTATACAAACTTTCTCTTGCATTTCTCTCTGACATTCTCATATAATCGTCAATCGAATCAGGCGACTCTCCCATTGCCATAAGCTTAATTGTGGCAACACATTTCTGCAACCCTGTGAATCCTCGCTTACCTCTAGCATCATATCTCATTTCGAAAAATTCGTACCTAAAAGTATATTTAATATGTAATAGCTATATTTGAAGGAAACCATGTATTTGAATTTTGTAAAAACTATATTTTAAAAAAACAATACCTACTTTCCAACGCATTGGCTATCCGAACAAAAACATTTTTCCGCAAACGAAACCTTCTTTTGAAAATGTGTGGCTGGTAGACACAATCATCAGCAAAATAATCATGAACTAGACGTTTGTGCTCTTCTTCACGATCTCTGTTTAACACATACGCCTGGTTAATAGAGGAGCTGAATTTGGTTGTAGTAGCTCGTTCGTGCAATACTCGTACATCATAGAGACGAACATATCATCGTCATCACTGTCATCGAACAACTTCATTTTTTTGGAATGTATTGAAAGTATATGAAATAGAGAGAAAAATGGTGATTAAAATTATATGAAATAGAGAGAAAATTGGTGATTTTATTGGTAAAGGTATTTTTTTTAAGAATGTTACCTTTTATCAACGGTAAAATGAGAAAATTTAAAAAATAAATACACGTTATCGTTCTTTACAGTGCCAACGGAGGACCACATAACGAGAAGGGGGTGGTGTTCCCCCCGTGATAACGACGTGGAGCCAATGCCACGTAGGCAATAACGAAGGGTCACTACCCCATACTGAGTAGTCTTAGTGAAAACAAATACGTACGTAACCGATCAATACAAGTTACTAACTATTATACCTAATGTCGGGTTTCTTACAAGATGGTGATGATATAATTTGAGAGTGAAGAATGTTAGGGCATCTCTATTTTTATTTAATTATTTCAAGTAACATTTTAAAATTGTGTCTTCATATCATGGCATTCACATTCAACCACACTGGGAATCACTTTAAAAAAATATGTCGCCACTTCTAATTTAGTAAAGGTTAATTACTAGCCGAGTCGAAAGCAAGTCATGTGAAACAAGCAATGGCCCTCGAACAATGTGAAGTTATGGTTCTTTAGGATGTATGATGTGTGATTCTAATGCAAGTTATTTGTAACATCAATAAAAATCACAACCAATTTAAACCTTTCAAAACAACTCATTTACTAATAAAAGTGTTTACAAAATCATTGTTTCCAAAACATTCTTTAAAATCAGAGTCTCCTAAGATCCAATCAGTAGTAAAACCAAGGATGTGTACGGTCACGCCTTCTCCTTGCCATGGTCCTCTGAAGAACCTGAAACCATAAACAAAACTGTAAGTACGAAGTTTAGTGAGTTCCCCCAAAGTACCAACACACAACATATAACATATTCAAATAACATCATATACTGGGTCCACAACTAAAGACTAGTTTACCCCTGAGCCCACATTATGAGTTTGGCTTGCCTATCGGGCCCATAGCTCATTTCTGGCTTGCTCTTAAGCCTAAAACATAAGTATGCCTTGCCCTCGGGGGCCTACAGCTTATGTCTGGCTTGCTCCCTGACTCAATCAGTCATCGGACTGGAATACTAATGTTCAGCCCTCAGTACGATTCTGGCATACGAACCAGTCCTTAGCTTGTATCTAGAATGCTACTGAGTCCTCCGTAGGAGTCTGGCATGCCCTTAGCGGCCCTCAGCTCATATCTGGAATGCTCCAGGGTTTGTTGGCTATGGCACAAAGCAGTACAAACTCAACCCAACACAACATGTCGACTTATAATAAATAACAAACATATACAAATAATAAGGTAAACAAGATCACAGGTACTCCTACAGATCTACCAGACTAACATATCGACAACTTGCATAATCATGCAGATCAATTCCATACTTAGCATATCAATGTATAGCAGGATAACAATCCAATGGGCCAACCTTGGTGCCTTCGACCCATAAGTACAGCGAGGAAAACTCACCTCGATTCGCTGATAATCAAATAACTGCTCGAACCGCCGAACCGGATAACCTCGCGCCAACTAACATTAAATACAATATTAATCAATAATTAACCCGATAACCCAAATGTTGGAACCTAAAAGTGAACCTCTAGCAATCTCTAACCTTTCATGTTCCGAAATCAGTCTTAGGTCCGAAGTAGAATATTGTCCGGAATTTTGTCTGTGGTCAGAAGTGCAGTTGGTGTCCGGAATAGAGTGTATGTTCAAAGAGAAGATGTTCCGAAATGAAGAATAAGTCCGAATCAGTTTATCCATCTATGTATTAATCATTCCTGTTGTTTTTCTTGATGTAACAGATCATAGGACTTAGTTTATTTTGTCAAAACGAATAATCAGAGTGTCAGAAGTAACTCCTTTATCTGATCCTATGTATGTGTTTGAGTTTGTACGATGTACTCCTTTCTCCTTTTTAAGGAGTATTTAATCACTACAAGAAAAAAACGATTTTGCTAGGGAAGGACGCTATGGAACGTCTTTTGGTTGTTAATCTGCAATAGATCGTGCTATGGAATGTCGTTCCATAGCTAATTTGCTACCACATTTTCTACGGAATTAATTTTCCATAGAAAACATGAGAATTGCTACGGAAATTGTTACAGACTCGAAATCCATTGGTATATTGCTACCGGTATTTCTATGTAAAAACCATTCGTAGCAAATTTTCAATGAATTTTTTACGAAAATACTTTCCTTTGTAATTCTGCTACACAATTAAATATCATGGTTAATCTACAATGGAATTTTTCAACGGAATAGAATTCCATAATTTTTTCGCTATGGAAGTAGCATTCATAGCTATTTACCTATAGAATTGTGCTACGATGTTTTATTTTTGTTGCTTGTTTTGCTATGAAAAAAATGCCTAGCTACGCTGTTAGGAATTTTGTTATGAAATTAAATTACATAGCAAATTTGCAAAGGAGTTCAAATTCATAGCTATTTAGCTATGGAAATTTGCAACAAAAATAAAACTCGTGGAAGTTTGACTATGGAGCCAATCTTCGTTGCAACTTTTGTTATGAAATTTGTTACAAATCAATATTTTGAAGCTATTTAGCAACATATATTAGATACGAAAATCGATTCCGTAGATGATTTGCAATGGAGTAAATGTTCATTATTATTTTGTGATGAAGTTTTTTTACGAAATTAAATTCCCCAGCAGTTTTGCTAACGAATAATAATTTGTAGTTATGTTGCTACAGATCAATTTCTTAGCTGTTTTGATATAGACTATATTAACCGTTGATGTTTCATTACAAATATGTTAATGAAATAAATTTTGTTGGTATTTTGACGAATTTCATATGTTTTCGGTACATTTTTGTGCCTAGGAGTTTAGGATTGAGGTCTAGGGGTTATCAGCACTAAGGGGCAGTTTGGCAGCATCTGAATTTTTAGGATCTGAATGTTTAAGATGTCTGAATTTCTAAGAGGGTCTGAATTTTTAAGATCTGAATTTTAAAATGTTGTTTGGTTAGAACCTCTGAATTGTTGTGCTGAAAAGTAAAAATGACAGTTTACCCTTTTGTTTAAAAGTTATAATAAATATTAATAAAGCCATAATTTTTTTAAGGAAATCACATTTACATATAAACATTTACCCCTAAAAATGACCATTTTACCCATTTTCACCTAAAATTCCAAGTTTTGGTACATTCCATACAAACATATATACAAACCTCCCAGTTATAGTAGTATTTTACATACAAAAATGACTTATCACAAACAAATTGTAGCTGTTTAATATTCACAAATGGTCCTAAACATGCATTTTTCTGCTTAAACCAAAGTATAGGTAAATATAATAATAGCAACCAACTTACGTTATTTTACAGATATAGATAATTTCCAATCAAAAACATGCAAAATGGCAATCTACTTACCTGTTTATTTTTACCAATACACACATACATATGGTTGCACAATCTTTTCTCATCCAAAATTCAAAAGTAAAAAGATTACAATATTTTGTTCCCTCTATGGTCAATGTCAATAGTGACATTTATAACAACAGGCCCCATAACTTCTTTAGGGTTTATCCGGTCACCACCATACACACCACCATTGTCGAACACTATCACCACCACATGTAACTCATAACCTAACCAAAGTCTACAAAATCACAACACATTTCAGGATCAAAATTGAAAAAAGAAGCTATATTCGTGGAAAAAGAAAGAGCAAACCTCGAATTCCATGACATTGAATCCAAAAACGAATCACCTTCAACAGCAGCCACAAGCCGATTGGGTTAAGCTGATCAGGTTAAGCTACTGTTGCAACAATACAATAACCTAAACCAACATCCAATGTACCCCATGTTCCTATATCTAACCGAGTCCATGGCTCCATATGAACTAAAATGAATCGACCCACATCCATGGTGTTAGCTCCTTCTAAAACCAATATAGGAGAGCAGTGATTTCATTACCAATTTCAGTAAGAAAGCATTGATTTGAGCCAGAAATCACAAAATTTCATCTTATATCGGGAGAGAATAAAGGAAAAATTGAAGAATGGTACATACCTGAAGGCACCTCTGTTGTGCGAGGGCGGCGTAGAAGGTGTTGGAGGCTAGCACCGGAGGTATGAGAGGGTGTCGTCCGAGACACGAAGGGCAGCAATGGCAACGGATATGGTGGCGCCTGCTGGAGGCCAAATGTCTGGAGAAGGATATTAGGTAGTCAGAGTGTACTGGGAGGGAAAAGGGATCAGATGGGAATCCAAGTTTAGAGAGGGTAGAGACATCGAAGGAGGGATGAGAAACATCAACTATCATCCGCTTCCTATTCCCTAACCCGATGGAGCTCTGATTTCTTCTATGTTTTCCCAAAAAACAGACAAGGTTTTGATAGCAGGAAAAATGGGAAAATGGTTAGCAACTTAGCATGGCGGCAAATTTGGCGTCCATATTTTCAGTTTATTTTCATATATTTGATTTCTCTTTCAAAATTGTGGAGTATCTCAAAAAATACTAGAATTTCATATTCTTTGTTAATTTAAATTCTTGATATATGATCTTTTTTTACAATGTTAGATACATTTTTATGATTTGTTTATAAGATAACTTTTAGTAGCATTATTTTTTAACTAAATTCCCATCTACCCCTACCTTTACCCACCCACCCCCACCCTTACGTTCTAACTAGCATAATATGAAGAACATATAATATAAATTCTAGTAGAATTACATACCTCTTTGTTGTAGCTTGATTCCATGGAGCTTAAGAGCCTAGTGCCTCAAGTGTGACACCTCAAATGGTTCACACAACATCACCAACATCTTGGAATAACTTAAGAGAAAAGGTTCCTATGCTCAAATTGGCTAGCCCTCATGTGTACACACACTAGTGCCAATTTCTTGAGCCATGGGGTCCTTATATATTGTGGCTATTAGGGTTACACCATGTAACTCATGTCTTTCCATATTCTTCATGCTCCATGGGTTAAACCCTCCATGGAGTATCCATGGGTTACTCCATGGGTTTACCCAAGATGAAGAACTATGGATCATAAGCCCACATATATAAGAATGAATGATTTACACAATCAATCCCAATATATATTTAATTAGTCTACTTTTTGATCACATAATTAATACCAAATTAATTCTTGATCAATACTAATTAAATAATATGATTTCATATTAATATATTAGAACTTATAATATACTAACAAATCATAAATATCCTTTTCTCACAAAAGTCTATCCAAATTGTTCCGATTCCATGTAACCCAAATGGACCATGCCAATCGGGTCAAGTACATACCAATTATAGTTATGGACTTAGACACTAATCCAACAGTCTCCCGCTTAGATAAGTCTAAAACTATTATTGCGTATGACTTCAAAACCCGACTAGCAATCGTAGCTCTTAAAAGCTGTTGTCGAACTCTGAACAAATCAATGACGCGTCCATTAGATAAAGGATCATATATTCCTCGATTCTAGATATCATATGGACTGAGACATGGTTTATAATCATTCTCTCTGTCCATTTGTTGTTTCTCGATTTACGATTTATGACGACCGACTAATTGAACAAATCAAATCAGTCCAGGCTTGGCCAAGCACTTCGGGGTGTCATCACTGAATCATCGAGGGGCCCACATATATCGCTTTTATCCCTTTAAGGGTAAAAGGAATGGATAACTTCGACTCATATGCTTGTTCTACTACTACGTGTTGAATCATACCAAGGCACGTTTTTAACATCGAGTTACCAATGCGTTTTCGTACAATCAATGCATAACAAACTCATAGGAAACAAGTTATATCTATAGGTTTGAAGAATATAAGATATTATCATCTCATGATCACTCATGATAAAATCCATGAAGTGATTCAATTGAGCGTGGGTTTAATCCAATACTTAGAAGTTATGAGCACTCATGAATGATGCAGCAACTCTTGTTATGTCCTATACCTTGGACATCTATAATCCAGCTTCATGACAGCCTTGATTCATATCTACTTCCAACATATGACCGACTGTGGATGGTTTGAATAACTTAGTCATTCAGGAAGAACGACCTAGTTATTCTGGAAGTCAAAAACATGCAAAGTGAAACACAAGAATAATCGAATCCAATATGGTCTCAGAACTTATGAATATAAATAAAACACCTTTTATTTATCACCATGTTGATTACCCATCATTCATCGCATACTGTTTCAAACTATCAACTTTTATACTTGAATTAAAAACAATAGTTGTCCCATGCTCCAAGCATGTACACTATGTTTTCTAAATACTAGTCATGACATACACCAAGTATGCACACTATGTTTGTCTAAACATTAGTTATGCCATACACCAAGTATGCAAACTAAGTTTGTCTATGATCTTTACTCTGTGAAATT